TGTTATTTTATTTTATTTTATTGAATTGTTTGGGTATATATACAAAAAATCAGATTGAAAAAGGGGGGGGGGTCTTTTGATTGATTTAGGAGTTGGAGTTTGATTTTTGGGGGTTCTGTGGTTGGTGGAGTTTTGGAGTTTGCTTTGGTTGGAATTTGGAGTTGATTTTGGGGGGTTCTTTGGTTGATTCCGGAGAAAGGGGGGTTGATTTTCGAGTTTGTTTTTTTGTTTTTTTTTCTCTTCTGGGTTCTGGTTCTTCTCTGGGTTCTCATTTTCTTGTCACTGAAAAAAAAAAGAGAGACGGAAGAAAGAAGAGTCCGAGGGGGAGAAAGGCTGGTTGAAGGGAAGAAAACATTTTCTTTGGAGGTTGACAGTGGCTAAAAGGAGGCTTATTTTGTGGTGTCCGTTTCTGTTTAGGTATTTTCTTTCAACAGAGGAGTTTTTTTTGGGAGGCAGTGAGGGAAATGATCTGGGAGGGATTCCCCATATCGGACTCCGATCTGTTACCCAGAAAGCTTCACCATGCTTGTTTCTTTTGACTTTCTGTTATGTGATTTGCTTTTATGATGTTTAAGTGTGTATGTGTTTATTAAAAATCAATGAAAAAAAAGATGTCCGGGTTATTTTCTTGATGAATATTGTTTATCTTTTTATTGAAAATGAGTTCATTTTTCTTTCTGTTCATGATTCTATTTCTGTCTTGTTTGATCTGTTTTTGCATATTTTTGATCTGTTTTTGCATATTTTAGTGAATGGTTTTGTGTTTCTGGGCCAGGTTGACCCGATCCAAACTTAAAAAAAAAAAACTAAAACTAAAACTAAAAAAAAAAAAAGTGTAAATAAAATGATTAATTGATTATAATAATTAGTTTGATGTGTGATTAGTGAAATTTAATTAACTTTAATTAAAGTAAATTAATTATATTTATTAGTTTTAATATGAGATAATTAGATTCATTTAATTGTTTTGATTAAAAATTAATGGATGTAATTAATTAATTTAAATTAATTTAAATTAATATTAAATTAATCATTTAATTAAATTGATTATTATGATTAATTGACTTTCAATTCTTTATCTTACTCGTCCTTTCAAAAGGTCAAAAAATATCTTTCTTCATTTCAATTTCACCCAAGGGTTTTACGATTAAGCAATTTAGTCCTAGGTTTCAAATCTGTTCAAATTAGTCCTTTATGTTTTGAATTTAATCAAATCAGTCCTTCATCTTTCGAATTTAATCAAGTTAGTCCCTTAATTTCTTGTTTATGTTATTGTGCGTGCATGTTTTTGATTTAGTCCATTTTAATCCAAAAAATTAAAAAAATGTTTCAATTTGGTTTCTCTTTTTCAAACTTGTTTATTAAGACCCAAATATAAATATAATAAATAAGTTGAATTAAAACCTCAATTTTAAAGTATGCAACTATATTTAAACGGAGGATTGTGAGGTGCGTATATACTTTTCCTCACTCCTAATCGAACCCCCAAACCCCGATATCTGCGCAGACCTATTTTAGGTGACTTGTCTCACCTTATAATTTGAACCAGTGGCGACTCCCTTTCTCTTTTATATTTTACACTTAATTTTTTCATTGTTTTGAAAAATCTTAAGTGGTCGTCAACAATGCCCAACCGCAATCCCTTAACCTCAAAGTACCCAAGCCAACAACTACAAAAAGAGAAAAAAAAAAGAGAGTATGCCCATCTGTTCGGCGCCATAGAACTATTGACTTTTAATGGTGCTTTAAATCATAAAAATGGATGCAAGAGTTTTAATATTGATCATATTTGTGAGTTTGTAGAAAAATATCATCCTTGGGATTTTTCAGAGATGGAGAAACTTCATTTGAGATTAGAGTTTTGACATTATGAGATTAAAACAAGTTATGAAGGGTTTTCAGAATTTGTCAAATATTTCTAAGCTATGTCAATGGCTTATGGAGACCAAAAAATTAGAGATTTATAGTCTCATTTACAAGTTAATTAATTTGGTACTTACTCTTTTAGTTTCTACAGCAACAATAAAAAAGCATTTTTTGCAATGAAAATTGTGAAAATAAGATTTCGCAGCAAAATGAAAAATGAATTCTTTTTAAACTCTTTGATTGTTTATATTGAAAAGGAAATAATTCAGACATTTAATGTAAACTCTATTATAGATAGATTTTGTGATATGAAAACTCATCAAGTATTATTTTAATTTATAATATAAAAGTAAACTTTTAAAATTATAATGTATTATTTTAAAACTTGAAAATCCTAGCTCTGCCCTGTGGTTAGCATTAATTACTTAATTTATTCTTTCTATGTAATTTAATGACAAAAAGAGACATTGATTACGTAACATGTGAGAAAAACCCTAATAATAATAATAAGGGTTAATCTATCCTATGCACTTAAGGTACACGATAAGAAACATTAATTAGATAATGATTATCACCTTTTGTCTTGAACATGATAAAATTAATTTTTTATTTTAGGTATAAATGTCATGTGTTAGATTTTGATTGGTTAATTTTAAATTAAAAATTAGAAGTTATTTTTTAATATAAAATTTTACTTTTTTCAAGAAAAAAATTATAATTATTGCTTAATAATAACTTCTTATAAGGCATAGGATAGATAAACCCTAATAATAATTTCCCAAACACTCAAATAAAGATACAACACTTATGACTTATTTGGTTTGAAAGAATGAAAAAAAATTATTATAACTAATCAAATACTTAATTTAATTAGTCAAAATAAAAACATTTTCTCTCCCTTCCTCACAAATCTCCTTCTTTTTCCCTTTATTCCCTCATACCAATTAACACACTATTAGTCTATTTGGTCCCTCTCCTCCTTTTCTCCACCGTTTCGTTCAAACAAATTAACACAATATTAGTGTCTATTTGGAAGAGGAGAGGGAAGATGGGAATTTTTTTTTTTATTTGGATAAAAAATAATAGAGACGAGAGGATGAACTTTTTCAGTTTTCTTTAATTTTCTTTGTATATTTTAGTATATCCAAGGTGACGTAGCGAATGAAAATTAGGGGATGAGAATTTGGGATTACCATGTTACGTTGTTTTTATTTTTAAATAAGTTAATATGAAACAATTTTTTGTATAATTTTATATATTATTAAATAAATAGATATATATAATATTATGAGTCTTAGTAGGATAAAAAGAGTTATTTATTAAATAATATGAGATGAGAAAAGGAAAAATTAAGAGGTCTTAACATTAAAAATGTTAGAATGCTCAGTCACAATCATTAAATATGTGAAGTATAATATGAGCCTAATTTTATCAAATTTATTATGTAATTATTATTAAATATCTTGATATTTTTAATGTTAAGATATTCTAATTTTTTTCTTTTCTTATATGAAATTCACCTTCTAATATTTTAAAAAATCTTGATAAAAAAACTTATAACATGTTATTAGTCTCAAATTTTTGCCCCATTAAATTCGTCATTTTTATCATTATCCATATCCAAATGAGATAGAGAGGACTATGGTTTTTCTAAAACCAAAAGAAAGTTCTTAAAAGACTTAAGTGGCTGTTTGGTTGGGGGAACTTTCCTCAATTTTTTTTTATAAGATTATTTATGTATTTTTATATATTAACATTACAATAAAAAAGAGTAAAAATAATGTTTTTAACATTTATTTTCCTTAACACAATATCTAATTTATAAACTATTCTTTCCACACTTTTTGAAAGAAAAAAAGTTTCATCCTAACCTTATTTATCTTGGACTTGGCAACTTTCTTACAAACTTTTCTCATACTAATTTCAAATTGACATCCCTAAACTGCCAGCTAATAACCCAATAAAATTTCATTATAAAACTTATTAATTTTTCGTATAATATTTATCCATTTTTTATATAATATTTTCTTAACTTTTCGAAAAAAAATCTTTTCTAGTAAAGTTGGTTTTTAACTAAATAGGCCCAAATATTAATTGAAAACTGGGCCTAAGATTGGAGCCCACTTTACAGTAAACAAAAATAATCCAAGGAAGCCAAGGCCTTAGCCCTAGTGGTTGCCCTTGCCCATTACCGAAGCAACAATTCACCTGGGTTCAAAAAAAAAAAATGTAAGGGTCCGTTTATAATATTGTTATTTTTTGTTTATTTATTTATTTATTTCTTTTATTTTTAACAACCAATAATATATGGTAATTTAGCAATAAAAATAAAAATATTACTAAATTACTACATATAATATTAATTGTTAAAAATAAAAAATAATAACGTAAACTAAAAATAACAGCGGTACTCTTCGGCCGTAAGCTAAAACCTGGGCATCCCGTGTGTAGACCTGGGCTCTAAGCCCGAGTGTTGCGCCTGTAAATGGGCAATTGAGGGATGAGTCTTGTAGTCCTAGGGGTGAGAGTTGAAGGGCAAACCATATAGGCCTCTCTTCTGCAAGTGAAACAAGTTTATAAATGATATATTTACAAATGTCATGCACTATTATAAACTTAAAATTATAATGTTTTATTATGTAAGTAATTTTTTTAAATTTAAAATTCAATCCTAATATTTTATGTATTTATTCATTTAATAAAATTTGTAATTATAAATTTATAATCTTACATAATATTATAAGTATATAATAGTTACTAAATTTGTAAAATGATTCTAAACTTGAGAATGCAGATCTCAGTGAAATTCATATTGGCAAATTAACAAATAATGGACTAATACATTTGAAGATACCTTAGGCATGAAATTAAACTACATTTAGAATTTATTTTGCCCAACCTCTAGTTAGGCTTCTTACATATAGAGAAACACAAATCTCAAGTTAACAAACTAGAACATGAAACAGGAAACACATTCATATAATTCCTACAGTTGCTAAGGGTTGTTGCAATTAAACTTCAGAAGCAATTTGCGGATTCGAGTCAAAAACCTCCATGATATTCCTAGTCTGATCGATATTTTGGGGATCATTTTCTCTCTGTTCCTCATTCTCACTGTTTTCGCCGCAGTTGGGGGGTTGTTTTTCTAGTTTGGCGATATCAATACTTTGTTGGGGCGACTGAACCTCCGCTGCCACCAACATCTTGGACTTATTCCTGTATACTGCATACAGCAACATCTGAAGCAACCCAAATACTACTCCAAGAATGTTGGGAATCTGCAATCAAAACCAGTCATTCATCTAATTAATTAATTAGGATTATTTTGATTAGGTAATTAGTTAATTAGTTAATGAAAGCTCACTTTTAAGGGAGGAAATTAAAAGTTGTGTTGTGACTCGCAATTTTCTTTTCTAAATTAACCCCTCTTTTGGGTTCTATATTCTAAATTTGAAGCATCTAAGTTTTTTTTTTTGAACTGCATGCATGAAGCATCTAAGTTAAAAGTTCCAAAACTCTTGACTGCCAAACTGTTCTGCTCCACAGACACTTGTACATATACGTGACATCTTTATTAATTAGTATAATAAAAGTGGTCAGATGTTGCTTACCGTCACGTACAGGTCCTTGAGGAATAAGCCATAAAGGAGCCACGTAACAGCGCTTACAGTGAGGTAAAGTGATAAATTAAAGGGCATGTACTCCACACTTTTGGTACGAATGACCAACCTCTGTAAATTTATTAGCAAATGGTTAGTATATACATGTACATTTTCTGGGTAAAAAGCTTAATTATATGTTTGTGAGTGGGAGGGCCAAAAGCAAGATTAATTGTATTAATTAAAATATATTCTTACCATAATGCTTAAAGGTGCCACGAAGACAATGAGAGAGAATACCATACAAATCCATCCTAAAACTCGAATACGTGTGGATGCTTTTGTTAAGAAGTGTGAGAGAAGAAGAATCGAGCAGAATCCCATGAAATTTAACAAAAGAAGTAACTTCGAAGTTAACATCTGCATTTTTAAATATAAGTTCAATATAATTAGATTATGTATAAAATTATTTTCTTGCAAAAAGAAGAATATATTTTTTTCTTTTTCATACACATTGCTTATGCGCTGGACTAAGAATATATATGTAAATTTATTACTTACCCTGGCTTTCCTTGGGGCATAAGTGATGTAGAAAGCAATGTAAATGGTCTCCACGACGCAACCAAAGGCATTGATCGTGATGAGAAGGAAAGCATCAGATTTGAGTAAGGCATAGTAGATCCAAAGCATTGCACTGAGGAGGCCAGTCAAATATGGAAGAGATTGATAGCCCTCGGTTGATTTCTTCTTCCAAATCCGATAGAAAGTTGGTCTAAAAGAGTAACCATATATATAAACTACTCTTAATCTTTAAATTTATAAAACAATAAAAATGTCGTACAACATTTTACTTACATTGGAGCTAGAAAAACCACGAACGAGGAAATGTTGCCTAATACATATCAAGAAAAAACAGTTACACGAAGATTTTAATAAAAAAGGATTGATATTCAAAGAGTATAAATTATAGATATATGTACCTAGAACACCAAAAACGAAAACCCAAGGGTTATGAGTGGAAATCAAGGCCATTTCTTTGCTTCTTCTCTCTAGCTCTCCACTAGCCTCTTTGCTAATGTCTCACTTTCCTTCTCAAAGGGAAGTCGAAGAGCTAGATATGAAGCCATTGCACATGGGCATGCATGTATATATAGGCGCCCAAGAACAAAAGCTTTTGCATGGGCAGAATGATTGCTGGGAAAAGTAGCGGCGTTGGACGAATTAGACCAACTGGCAACTCGACTTTTTCATTTTTGATGTTCAACCCCAACGCGATCATCTTTAAGATGGTCGGTAATTAATTCGTATTATTCCATGTGACATGTCACACGACAATTGGTATCGGAGAAAAAAGGATTTGAATAAGAGCTAGAATTTGTAAAGAAAAAGGTGAGTCTTTTGACTGTCCAAATACACTAGATCATTTTGCCCCATATGTCATCACACCTCAGCGAGTATCTTTTTGCCTGGCCTCCACCTCAAAGTATATTAACGAGTTTAAGCAAGATTCGTTTATAATTATATTTATTTAATTAAACAAACTTAGGGTTATATTGATGTGTCGCAATCGCCCTTACTGTGCAAAATTTTAGTAGTGAATTCAAAAGCAAGCTGAAGACCCACAACCACAGGATGTGCAAACACTTCTTGTTGGCAAATATTTGCTAATCAATGGATAAAAACCATGCTAAGGCTTTAAGGAGTTTGACGTTCAAATTTCAAGATCCGCACATTACAAGTTTAAATTCTTTTTATGCTATTTGGACATAAATAATTTTAATGAATTATATTTATTTTTAAAGTTGAGATCTTATTTGATATTGATAAAAGAGACCCAGTTTGCAATATACTCTTTAAATTAGTTAGATTGAATGCTAAAATACTGTATCATTTGTAAATATTAAATATGTGAAAAATGAGTTGAGATATATCTTATATTTTAACTTAGTAAATTATTAATATTTAATTGATAAAAACAATTGTTAAGATACCCATGGTATAATGGAACTGAAAGGTGTGCCATGGACTCCCATATCGTCAGTGACATCACCATCAAATAGGAAGAGGAAGCCTTTGAAGTTAAGTGCCAAAACTCCACTCATAAGACTATATCCTGCGCCCAAAAAAAAAAAAAAAAGAAGGTTAGGAGTAAGAAATGGGTCTCCCATGTAAAACTTAAATGAAAAATCCTCATAAAGTTCAATAAAAAATTCCTATAAAAACTTTTGGATCCCTTCTATAACTTGAAACATATATATTTTTTTGAAACATATGAAGACATCCCACAAATAAATAAAAATATAAATTTGGGGACAAAGCGGGGTATTAGCCTGCCATAATACCCAGTGAAATATTTTATTGAGAAATATCTTTCTTAATATTTTTTTCCTTATTTTTGAATTGCAGAATAAAGGTAATCTACTCTATTTTATTTTGATTGTTAAATTGATATATCCTTTTTTCATGAATATATATATATACACATATTAGGATATGCCAACAATCTAAATATATTAGTGATAATTTTCTTTTGCTGTAAAGTAAGAGATTTTAAGTTCAAGTCATGTGACATGCGAATAAAATGAGATAAAGAAATGAGAGATAATTGCCTTTCATTATGCAACCAATATAAAAAAAAAAAACATACTATAACATAATTAATTCAAATTCTTTCATAAGCAGACGCTTTGGAATATTCCATTCTTGTAGCAGCCATCGCTTCGGATCCTGCTCCTCTGCAATTTCTGGCCCCATATTCTGGGTTTGCCATGGGGGAATATTTCTGTTTTAATAATCTATGATGATCTTAGTAAAT